ATTTTAAAAAAGAAATTTGTATTAACAACGGACGCGTCCAACTTTGCAATTGGAGCGGTCCTATCACAAGAAAACCACCCAATCTGCTTCGCTAGCAGAACCCTTAATAATCATGAATGCAATTACTCTACTATAGAGAAGGAACTTCTTGCCATAGTATGGGCCACTAAATATTTTCGGCCATACTTATATGGTACAAAATTTTTAATAAGAACAGACCACCAACCCTTAAAATGGTTGCATTCACTAAAAGAACCGGACGCCAAACTACAAAGATGGCGAATCAGATTAAACGAATACGACTTCGAAATAGACTATGTAAAAGGAAAAGAAAATCGTGTTGCTGATTTTTTAAGTAGAATGGATTCTACAAATAATGAAATTAATCATATAGATGACCCTAACGAAACACCTTCTAATAATTCAGTTATAACAACAAACCATAGTCGCCATGAAAATCAATTCCCAACATCCGATATAATAATTAATAAATATTTGACGCAGCTTTATTTGACAAAAGAAAAAGAAAGGGAAATAATTATAAAATATAAAAAATTTAGACAAATCTTTATTAGTGAAAATGAAATCAATAATAGCCATTATTTAAATGACATACTTAGACGATTCATTAGAAATGGAATAACTGCTATCTATTCCGAATTAAATGATGAAAAATTTGATATAGTAAAACAGAAACTCACGGAACTCTTTTCTAATAATAATAAAATGAAATTCATAAAATGTACTAAAAAAGCAATAGACATAGAAAATGAAGAAGAGGCTTTAAAATTAATAGAAAAAATTCATAAAGAATCAAACCATCGAGGTATCGTTGAAAATTATACAGAAGTGAAAGATGAGTTTTTCTTCCCTAAACTTAAGGAACTATTTCATAAGTATATAAACAATTGCGACATATGTAATCAATCAAAATATGATCGCAAACCAAATAAATATAGATTCGAAATTTCCGAAACCCCGAGCTCTCCTAATAAAATAATACACGTCGATTTATTTTTCTGTTATAAGGAAATATTTCTTACAATAATTGACAAATTCTCAAAGCATTTAATGGTCCAACGTCTTAATGACCGAAATGCAACTACTATTATACAAGCACTTCGCAACAGGTTTGCACTATTCGGTAGGCCAGATAAAATCGTTGTCGACAATGAGTTCGATAGTCTTAATATCAAAAACTTCTTTAGAACAGAAAATATAAACGCTCACTTTACGTCACCCAGAAGCCATACCGGAAATTCTACAATCGAACGAGCTCACGGAACTTTAAGCGAACACCTTCGTATCTTAGATACACAAAAATCACATTTAACACCGTATGAAAAAATATTATTCGCAGTCGAAAAATATAATAATTCCATTCACTCTGTAACTAAAGTTAAGCCTATAAACTTTGTAAATAACGAAATAACCGATATTGAAAAAATTAGAAAATTAATTGATGAAAATAAACTTAAAACGATTGAAAAACCAAACAAAGATAGGATAGACCCTGACTATAAAGAGGGAGACAAAGTTCTTGTAAAAAATCCCGAAGCTCTAAGATATAAACATAAAAAGAAATATACGTATATTAAATCTAAATTAATTAACGGTAAATTAAAAGATAACCGGAATAGAAATATTCACCCAAGTAGATTAAAAAGAAATTTTAAATTTTCCTCAGGTAACCCAGAAACAGACTCCACTCAACCACTACCACAACAAACTTGAATTAGCACTACTAATTTTACTCCTCACTTCAAATACTTGTTCTGCAAATATTGACGTTCAGGTATTGGAAAATCAGGGTGGATTCCAACTAATCAAACGGGAAGAAATTCCTATAATTCAAAACTATTCTAAAATTCTTCACTTTATAAATATTAGCGAACTAGAAAATACTTTAGCACAAATTGAAAATAATATTTACAACACTTTTAACCAAGACAATACCACATTAAAACAATTACAAATTCAAATCGAAAAAACTCGACATAACATTAAAACATTACTACCACACAGACAAAAACGAGGACTCATTAATTTAGGTGGCAAAATTTTAAAATGGTTATTTGGAAACTTAGACGATGATGACAAAACTGAAATTGTAGAAAACATAAAACTTATTGAACAGGGAAATTACAACTCCATTCAGACCATAAATAAACAGATTAAAATAAACGACCAATTTCAGAAAAACCTAAATATTCTACAGAAACGAATTAACGAAAACCAAGAAATTTTAAATATTACACTGAGAGAACAAAACAACACCTTTAGCAAAAGCATAAAAAGTTTACAGTTTCTTTCTAGTTACACAAATATTAACTTACTAAATTCAGAAATAGACAAAGTCCAACAAAACATTCTTTTCGCTAAACATGGTATCATGACTCACTCCATTTTATCCAATGAAGAAATTGATGAATTTGAAATCGATGTTTTTAAATATAAAGAAATAAAAAGTTCACTTATTAGTCTAGATAATAATATTATTTTTGCCATTTTGATTCCTAACGTTGCAAAGGAACTTGCAGTTGGATATAAAATTATTCCAGTACCTAACAAAAATTTCGAGGAAATAAACATTGAATCTACTAATATATTGAAATTTAAAAATGAAATTTACTTTAATAATAAACAGAATTGTGAAAATAAACTAAAAGTAATAAATGGTTGTATAAAAAATTTAATGAATAATAATTTTAAGAATTGTACAAAAAGGAAAAATATTAATTTTGAGATTGTGGAAGTTTCATCTAATATTATCTTAGTAAAAAATGCAAATAATGTAATGTTAGAAAATACTTGTAATAACATACAATACAAACTAATTAAAACTAACTTAATTACATATTATAATTGCACTACAAAAATAGATGACGTAATATTCAAAAACATAGAGAGAAAAATTAACAACCACATAATAATACCAAACTATTTAGAACCTTATAATGTTAGTTATATACCAAATTTAGAAAATATTAATTTGAAGCAAATTGAAAATTACAATGAAATAGAATTTGTAAAATTTGAAATTAAAAACCATTATATTTTAATACTGTCAAATATCTCTATTGTATTGCTTTTAATAATTTTTATTACAAAATACTATATGAAAAAATTTTATAAATGTAAAAAACGGCCAAACGATACAAATGAAAATAATAGTAAAGGAAATATAATCTCTGGAGCTCAGGAGAGCTTCCAGCTTAACGAGGGGGGAGTTATATATTCGCTTACGCCCGGAACACCAAAAAATAAAATTTAACTATAACTAAAATTAAATCGAACGTTGCGATCAAATTTCCATACTTTATTACTTAAACCTATTCTAAATCATTTAATCGCAACGTGATTTGACAAAAACAAAATATTTATTTTAAATTAAAATTAAAATTCAACGTTGCAATTAAACTCCTATATGAAATCATTTAATTGCAACGTGATTGAACTTTTACAGACAAAACTAAAGCAAAGTTCCAAATATTCAAATTACAATATTAAAACTTTCCCATGAGAATTATTCTAAACAATTTTTTGCTTACTAAACAGTTATTTCTTATAAATAGAGTAAATTCAATAGCAGCTTTGCTTGGTTGGTAATTCAGTAGCTCGTTAGTTATTAAATCGTTTTGCCGTTTAGAAAATAAAGATTTAAAAACTTATAGTTTAATTTAATAAGTTTGGAATTGGAAATTAAAGTGTAATTAATTAATAAATGAAATAAAAAGAACTTTTATAAATCTTAAAATATTTTTTGTGTAAAGTAAAAACTTATAGTTTAATTTAATAAGTTTGGAATTGGAAATTAAAGTGTAATTAATTAATAAATGAAATAAAAAGAACTTTTATAAATCTTAAAATATTTTTTTTGTGTAAAGTAAAAACTTATAATTTAATTTGCACATGTATACATATACAATACAAATATTTTGTACAGCGGAAATCCCAGACTTAAATATCTATTTAATAGATAATTTCTTTATCTGGGCAATTTAATTGAATTTTTTTTTTTTTCATAATATTCAAAATTAAATTCTCTATTTGGTTTTGGACTCGATAATATAATATAGGAAATTAATTTTTTTTTTATCTATTTAATTAATAAGATTATTATGAGATTATAATTTTATTTTTCTCTGCACATAAATTTGATTTTATCAGGAATATTTTAGTTGGAAACTGAAATTATATTACGAAATTTTCTGAATTCAAAAGTGAAAATATAATTATGGCAATGAAGAGTAGAGGAGCAGATACAAGTTTGTGATTCTATATCTATACTCGTAATGTTTATAAAGCTTTGTTGTATGTTAATTGTAGTGAAATATGTTAAAGAGAAGAAATTATTTAAAAGAGAAGTATACTTACGGTACGTTATCACTCATCATCACTCATATTTATTTTATCATATAAATGAAATTGAGTGAGAAGATTTTATTCTACTCTAACGCATTATTATAAACTTACTGTTGTCAAAAAAGTATTTTCTATAAATACACACGTTACGAGCACGATACAGTTCGTAAACGATAAACGAAAGGTCGTAACGCTCATTCTTAACTCAATTTACAAATACGTGTATCAAAACTTAATTTATTACTCATTTAACAAATTTAGAATGATTATAGTTAATCACAAGAGACACTTTTTATTTGAAAAGAATAGGCACTTTTTGTTCTTAAATCTACATAATGCTTTCTTCACATAAATTATTGAGAGAAAAACTACTGATTTGAAAAATGAACTCAAAATATTGCTCTGATTTTTCACTCCAAGTACTTGAGTATGTTATTCTTTTGTTAAAATTCAGGGATAATGTTTTGATTTCGTTAGACCCACAAATAAATTTGCTGCTGTACGTTAATGAATATTGCAATCACAAATTTTATTTACAAAATTTTTTAATAATAAATTATTAAATTTAAAATAAATACAATTTAAGTAAAAATTTTTCTAATAAATTACTTTACATTTTATCTTTTTCATTTTAGATTGAATATAATTTCTAAAACCAAATTAAAAATTTTAATAATAATTGCATAATAATGGAAATTGAATCTGGTTTAACAACAATGAAATATTCTGATCGTATACCACCATTAGATTTATCAAATGTTTGTTCAACAGTCTGTTCAACAAGAGATAATGAATTAAGATGGAATAAAATGCATTCAACATATTTACAACATCAAAAGCAAAAAAATTCAAAAAATATTATTTTAAATAATAAAAATAACAATAACAATGATAATAATAATAATAAAATAAATCAAAATCATTTAAAATCATTAATAAAATCACCATCATCAACAACACAAATAACAACAACAAGAACAACAACAATTAATAAAACAACATCATCATCACATTTTATAAATTATGGATCTGATGGTTTACCAATTGATCCAAGAGATTGGACACGTGCTGATGTTTGGAAATGGTTAGTTAATTTATCAATATCAGAAGGTATTGATGTATCACCAGATTTAGCACAAAAATTTCCAATGAATGGTAAAGCTTTATGTTTAATGAGTTTAGATATGTATTTAAGTAGAGTACCAATTGGTGGTAAAATGCTTTATCGTGATTTTCGTGTTAGATTAGCAAAAGCAATGAGTTTATAATATTTGGAATTTAACATTATTATTTTATGTAAATTTTTATATTATATATGTATATATGAAGTATATGTATTGTATTGGCAGCTTTTAATTCTTTGGAAATTAAGTAAAACGTAATAAGTTCAAAATCACAATTTTTCAGTAAAACAATATGAAAATTTTTAAAAGAGCGATTCTGAGCGAAACAATAGGAATTTTTTATTGTGCTCTTGAACAATTTTATTCGGATGCTCCTATGTAAATTCAATAGGATATTCTTATTTATGGCTAAAAAATTAGATTATTAGGTTTCTGAAAATTTCCACAGAATATACTTTTATATTTGCATACATATATACACATAACATATTATTAATTGTATAACAAAATAAATATTTTAATTATAAAATTTTGATATATGTAGAATTAATTTTGTAAGAAATATTGTATAAACACAAAGCTACCTTTTACATTATTGTAATTGCAAAATTAATTAATGAATAAAATCACTTAATTTAAATTTTCGAAATTAATATAAAATTTTTCTGAAATTTCCAATATTTTAACATTAATTTATTATTGTCGAGAAATTATCATAATATTACAAATTAATAATTATAACATGTTAGAATAAATGCGATTAAATTTTAAAATTGGAAAAATAAAAAAATTGTGGCCTTATGAAATTCAATTGAAAGACAGACAATATTAAAAAAATTAAATAAATAAATTGCAAATTTCAACACTTGAATTAATTTTTAAAAATTTATATAAAATTAAAATAGTTTTCATTAAAAGTAGATTCCAATTAAATATTGTTTGACATGCTCAAAATATCCTGCATGTGTTCAGAATAAAATTAAAATTAATTTTATAAAATTATTTATTTTATACTTTAATATAATAATTATTGCTTATAAATAATAAAAAAATTTTTATTTCTAATTTTTCATAATTTTGTAATTAAATATATAAATCACTTATTTGTATAAAAATATATAAGTACATATATATTACAGTTTAAGTTCTCTAGTCAACTAATAAATTTTTAAATAATTATAAAATTTATATAATTATAATTATTGTATTTTAGATTTTTATATAATGTTTTTTTTTAATAAGATTTGATTTCGAAAACATAAAAAAAAAAATAGTTTGAATTAATAAACAGAAAAAAAAAGGAATTAAAATACTTTTTTTAAATTTAAAATTTGAAAAGTTTTATTTGTTAAAACAAGTGACAACACAAGTGACATTAAAATGACATTACACTATAAATAATGCTAGGCGTATACGTACACACATATTATGTCAAAATCCAAATGATATTGAATACGACTAGAACGTATGTATGTATATAGGAATGCGATGTTTACGAGACTGAGAATTTAATTATAAAAACTCATTACAGTTTCAAACTGTATATCAGTTATACTTCAAAAATTCTGGACTCTGCATAATGCCTTCAAATCCCTGTAATTCTTAACTACAAAAAAAAAAAATACATTTATGTATGTATAAAAATTAATTAAATAAAAATTTCTATGCGATTTTTTTTTCAAATTTAAAATATTTTTGCAGTATTCAACAAAAAATCTTGAAAAATATTACGATTTTCGAGCCTGCTTTGCTTTCTACAAAAGATTTACCGAACATTTGAAGATTTTTTAAGTTTCAGTTATCGAACATGAGTTGAATTCGCTTTTGTAATTCCGACTGCAAGTGATCTTATTAGTTGAAGCTGTACAGCAATATAGAACAACTAAAGCAGCGCCGTCCATAAAAATTCAGGTGTAATTTTAATAATATCTCTGTACTCTCTCAATAATCAGTTCTTTACTAATTTAATATAAAAGTAGAAAAAAAATTTTTGCTGTCGATATGAATTTTACAGTACAACGAACAAATACAGAATACTTTTTGCAGTATAAAATACAAAAACGTGCTGCAATTGCAGATCTTTGTTAATATTACAAACGCCAATTTAATTATGCTTTATTATTAAGACCTAAGTTAGAATTTTCCTGCACTTGAATAGAACAAGCTCTAAAATTGTATGATAAGTCATAACTGATGTGAGTTTAAGAAGCACTAAAATAAATCACTTATAAAATGAAATAATGTAAAAATAATTTTATATTTTGACAATCAAGATTAAATAAAAACTTAAATATCAGTTTTACGATTATCAGAATATAGCGAACGTTAAATTTCGCGCATCATAAATATTGTTACATTGTCGTATAGGCAGCATAATTAATATCCTTAAATTTAATTTTTTTTTTTCATTGTGCTTCTTCTCACACATTTTAAAGGTTCCTATATGCAATTTAATGAGTTCTTTTTTATATAGCGGGAATTTAATAATGTACAAATTAAATACAATTTAAATTCAAAAAAGAATCGAAATTCAGCGTTTCTTAATAAATTGAATTCTTTAGAAATTGCTGGGAAAAATTTTTTTTTTTAAACTAAATATTATACTTGTAGATTTAAAAATAACATAAGCATAAAATAGAATAAGGAAGGCAACAATATTAGCAACACCAGCAGTACAAAAGCAAGTAACATCAAGGTTTAAAATAATAAAGTGTAGGTACTCTTGTGTATGCTTCTTTAAATAACAGAAATAGCGCAATAACAGGAACTCATCATTTTAAAAAAAGCAAAGAATATAAAAAAAATAATAAAAATGTACTTTCAAACATCCGGGATGTTGGCGGATGGTTTCTGTTTGTATTTTGCTTTTTTAGATTTTTTTTTTTTATGTTATTAATATTACGGTTTCATTTTCAATTTTTGATTTTTTGCATTAAGTGTAGTTTTTTTTTTTATATTTCTTTATTTCGAATCACGATGTTATTAGTAAATATTATGTATTTCATATGTATAGATGTAGGTAATCGGTTTTGATTTTGTTCCTTTGAAATATTCCATATGCGTGGTAGACGCATACAAAATAATTTTCGTATAGATTTTGTTAATCCCAATGTACCAGAATAAAATTAATTGAAGTAGTATTTTCAAATATTTTGCTGGTATATTTTGTGCATTGAACATTTCTGAAATTTTTCATGAAATTCAAAATGTTTATTATTATTATTGATATTAACTATTAATATTAATATTAAATATTAAATATTCTATATGTTAATGAATTCTTTGAAAAAATATTGATATAGGATGAATTATTGCATAATCCGTAAGTAATTTCTAAATTTTGAAAAGGATTTAAGGATATGAACAGAAAAAGGGAGGAAATTCAAAATTGAAATTTATATTCAACCCTTGCAGAAGTTAATTATAGATTAATTGGCCAAAATCCTACACGATTGAATATTGACCATACCATCTTCTATATACATTGATATTTTTTTAATGTCATCCCTAGAATAGCATAAGAGGATTATTTCTACAATATGTAATTAATTTAAAATTGAATTTGTGCCCGCAAACAATTGTTACCGTTTTACTGTAACTAAATGAAATTTCCTTGCCGATGAGACTCAACTACGCGAAAAATATAAGAACCTACATTAATTACATAAAGAGTAATTTGATAGTTTGTACATATATTGTACAAAACCGCATAAGAACAACAATTTCTGATGTAATCACAAAGTAAGAAAATTTGTGATATAAAAGTGAAAATTTTCTGTTCCATAATATTCCAAGCTATATGAAATTTCAAAAGAAAATTGTTTGAAATTTTTTAGATTCTAACGTGTTCGCACCCACATAATATACCTACAAATTCTAAGTTCATGCATGCATACTTGCTATATACATAAGTATGTATGTATATACCTTATTATTATGATAATTATTATCATGTTATTATTGTGCTTATAATATTCTCTTAACAAATGCATCCATAAGTATGTCGTCATATAATTACAATAAATATTTTGAATTTTTCATGGTCTACATAAAATTTTTATAATAAAATTAACAATTATTCTAAATAATTTCTTTGAATTCTATGACACATTAAAATATATATGGCACAATCATATTGCATATTTATGTACAAATATAATTTGCATACCTATACACAGATTTCTTTTTGAATACACACAACAATGTTGTATCATTAATAACATCGCCAACATTATTAAGTAGCAGAAATCAAGAGAGGCAAAAAAAAAAAAATATATAAAAGAATCTTAAAAATCATTGTACGTTTATCAACCCAACAAAAGTAATTTATAATATTAATTTGCTTGCTCTCCGTCACAATTCACAATAAATTTTAAAATTCTATTTTTATAATTAAAACAGACGGCGTCATAAATATTCAAGCACGCATTATAAACGTTTTGCTATTTGATTAAAATATAAAAAAAATGCATAACATATGTATGTATGTATGTTGATTATATGACATATATAACATACATACACATGCATATGTGTCTATATATTTATAATTCATATACATATGTATGCATGTAGGTATATTATTGAGAAGCAAAGTAAATAAAAAATCTTAAAAGGTGCCAAATGGCACGAGTCTTTTATCTTTTTTTATCCCCTGAATTTGTTTTTATTTTTTATGATCTTTTTTATGATTTTATTTTGCATTTTTCTTATTTTGTTTTTCTTATTATCCTTATAAGTATAAATTTTATTTATGGATGTAGAATGGATTTACTTTCATTTTCATATGTACCTACATACATATATGTATGTATGTATAATGTAAATATGTATTTTATTTAAAAATTTTGTATAACATTTACGGCTCTTGTAATTTTTTTTTTTTTAAATCTGGCTTTATTGAATTTATAGTTTTGGTTATCTGATTTGATAATTAGTGTATTTGTAGAGGATTCATCTATTTAAAATTTTAATATTCATACATACCTAGTTAAAAAGGAAATATGTTATCGTTATAACAGTGTATAACAGTATATAAATATAACAGTATAAGTGTTATGCTATATTATACTTCTTAATTTTAAAAATTTTTGAAATCAATAAGATAAAAAAAAAATTTGCCAACATGACATACATTATTTACTGTTATACAGTTATGGATATAGACGGTTTTTTTTAAATAACGGTACATTTAGTAGAAACCAGATTAAAATGATTAAATACCCCAGTTTTGATTTCCTGGTGTGTTTTTAATATTGTATATTAATGGGGATTAATATATTACGTTCTATTTCTAATTTTTAATTTAGAACAGTTTATTGAATATTAATATTATACGTACATAACGTATTATTTTTATTATACATAGGTATCCTTCGGTTTAAGTAACATTTTTCGAAAATAACTTTTCAAGATTTTTACAAAGCAAATCCTAGTATATTAGTTGAACATACAAATTTTTGAAAAATTCAAATTACCTGAAGGCCATGAACTTCAAAAGGAGGGCTAATTATAAATTAATATTACATTAATACCCAATTTATACCATATACAATTGTGTACCTTTTAAATAAATCTTGTAAATATTAGAAAATATGTTATCCACTAAAATCTGATCCATTATCCATTTATGTATGTGATAGTCAATTAGTGAATCAAGTAATACACAGAAAGTTTAAAAACAAATTTTTACTTTTATATTGAATTCAAAATATAATGTAGAAAGTTGAATTCGCGTTTGCACAGTTCTGACTGCGAGATATCTTATTAGGTATAAAATAGCATTGCAATAGAACTAATGAAGCAGTACTGCAAACAAAAATTATGGTGTCAAAAATTTTTATTAATATTCTTTACTAATTTCAATAAGGTTTATGGCTATGACGTAAAAACAGAAAAATATTTTATGCTTTCGTTTTTTGACAGAACACTTTTGACAGCAGTTCAAATATCAAAAACAGAATGCTTTTAGTAGCAAAACTACAAAAACATGATGCCACTGTAGATTTTTGTAAGAAGTGTAAACACGATTTCAAATAAAACTAAAAGTATACCTCCATATGTGTATGTATACAAGTCAGAAACGACAATTTAGTTTATACATTGTGTAAATGGTGTTAAATTATTTTGTATAATTATGTTGAACATACGGTTCTTTATAACAGTTTTGAAGAGGAAAATTTTATAAAAAATAAAAAAATTTTTTTTTCCATTTTATTTCCCTTTAATTTTCTCACCCAAAATAAAAAAGAAAACTATAATAAAATCTCAAATATATTAATTGTGTTAAAAACAGATTCATCCGCTCATATTTAAAGATTTAGAGAACTTGAAGAGTTTGTGTGCAATAAAATACAAGTATAAGGTAAATAAATGCATATTATATTTAGGTATGTATATATGTACGGGATATATGTATGTAAATTTGTAACATGTTATATGTAAAATTAAAAGAAAAAGAACTTTCTTTTATTTTTCGCCTTTTCAAAGAAAAAATCCATAAAATTTGTAGCCTATGATTATTTTGATTTTTGCCTTATTTTTTTATTGCTTTAAAATCAACATAAAAAAAATATTATTTTTCCTTTTTCTTCTTTTTAGCATTAATTTTATTTTCTTAAAACACGAAAGAAAATCAAAAATTTTTTTTTTATAATTTCTTTCCCCTTAAAAGTGTGTATAAAAATTAAATTAAACATTGTATTTAAAATAATAATGCACCTAGAATTCTTGAGAATTACAGGGCCTAGTGCACACACACACACTAACTATATACAATAAAACCAAACTGAAGTATAGGAAAACAGAAATACGACAAAAGGAAATCTTAAAAATTCCAAAACGTGAATATTGCGTTAACGTTGACTTTTATTACTTAATTTTTATAGTTTTCGTTTTTTCATAATTTTCCTTTTTTTACTATTAATTGTTAAATCGTTTATTTTTTTGTTTTGTAATTAAATTTATTTAAGTTCTACATAAAAATATAAACTAGGTATAAAAATAATCTGTATGTATAAAGTATTTTAAAGAAAATCAGATTTATTTTAATATTTTTTTTTATTTTAAGTTGGCGAGAATTATATAATTTTAATGAATGGAGTTTTTGTGGAAACAAAAAAAAAACACGGGATGTGACCAGCTCATAACCGACCGGTACGGCTATTGTCTAGTTTAACAAAAGTGTTGCAAAATTATGAAAATGGCTTTTTGGAACCCTTCTTTCTAATATTAATAAGAAGTTATTTTCGGAAGCAACCAGAACTCGAATATTGAATTTCGAAAAATTCCATTAATTAGTTCTTTAGATATGATAGAAAGAAGCAAAATTGGGCCTAATTCGGTTTCCGAATTCTAATCTTTTTAAAAAATTTATAAGTTTATTATTTTAACATTTCGAATTTGTATTCGGAAAAACATAAGATCAGCCTGTAAAATTGTCCAGTTTTATAGGTCCGACATATTCCAAAAATTGATCAAACCATCCCCATCTACAAAGTAAACTCTTATATAAAATTTCATTGAAATTGGTTCAGCCGAATTTGAGATACAGACAAACTAACAGACAAACCAGTAGATAGGCGGGCAGACACACCAATAGAAATCTCTCTAAAAATAGTTAATTTACACTAATTCCTTAGCATGCAGAAACGAAAATTCCACATGTGAAATTTGGTGCTATCACATAACCTCCCTCATTGTATGCGATGCAGTCGATAAAAGCCAAAAAAGCAATAATATCTAATTATTTAAAACATAAAAAATCTATAATTAAAAAAAAAAAAATAAGGGAAAATTAATTTATAAATAGATTATATGGCCATAATAAAAGAAAATTAGATGATGATTTTGATATTAATTTAAGGTGCACTGCACTTTTTTCTTTATGGATTTATTAATTTAAAAAAAAAAGATATCTTATTGCATATCGGATAAAAAATTTTGCCGCATCAAGAATCAAAACTCTTCTAATGAACTCTGCTAATGCATTTTGTTAACAAGTTATAGAAATTTAAAAAGTAAAAGTACTCGGTGTAGTAGGAGGATCCGATCTTAATAATTAAATTTATATCTAAATAGGTATGTAGGAAACATTAATTCATTATAATTTTAATATAAAAATATTTAATAATTAATAAAGATAATAAAAATATTTTATTATTAAATATATTCTTTTTACAAAAATATAATATCTAACAATAATAAATTTCAAATGTTAATCATCATCATGTTAACAATACCCGATAACACCTTCAATTTTCAATGTGACTAAAATTCTTTTGACACCTGTTTAATAAAAACTTCATTATAAATATGATAAAATTATCATTGTCATTGAAACGAGAGATGTAAATAAATAAATAATTAAAATATAAATCAATATAAAAATTTAGTGGCTACCAATATTATCAGAAAGCAGTATAAGCTTGAAGGTAAATAAATTTGTAATACAAATTTATTGTTTACAACTTTCTTTTTCCATAAAATATGGACCTAATGAGGATGAATTTGATATAAATTATTTGATTATTAAGATTGTCGAAAAAATTTAGTTAAAATCGAGTTATTTCTCTTTCGTGAAATAATTTTTTTTTTGTTAAAGTAAAAAATTAGGAAGATTTGGAAGAATTCTTTAAGATCATTTACTAGATATTATCATGGAATAAATTTTTAGCATCTCATTTAACAAGAGTCATATAACTTTCCAGATCGTGTAACTATTCAATACTTTTTTAATGTCAATTCATATATACACATGTAAGTTTGTTGAAAAAGTCGTTCATTTCCAAAAAGCATTTGGTATAGCTGGAACACATTTTAATAAGCTTATAATGACCTAGGTCATAGTTTTTGTTATGTCAAGTTTTATATATAGTATCGATATAAACTAAGTACAACCATTGATTCATTTGACTAATTTAAGTATTTATAGTTAATACAATTTAAAATTTTTTTATTATAATTAAATAAAAAAAATTATTATGAAATAAAAGAAGAATATTTAGTTAAATTGAAAATTTGTCTTTTATCAAAATTTATTTTCATAAAAATGCAAAAATTTATTTTATGTTTTTTACAATTATTAATACAATATACAAATATTTAGAATTATATTATCTAATTTGGATATATGATCATGGATTATATATTTAAATTTTTCACATATTTTCTTTTTAATTTATAATAATATGTAGCTTTCTAAATAGTTACAAAAATTATATAAAAAAAAATGTTTACAACTTATTTTAAAATTATTTGATTAATTTTAATTAATTTTTGAAAGTGTAAAATGGTAAATTTTAAAAAAAATCTGAATAAAAAAATAGATAATTTTAAATTTTGATAAAAATTATTTTAATTAGTCAATATTTTCATATACCGAATTAATTGAAAGCGGTGTTTGCAAATAAAAAATAAAAAATTTAATTGTTCACTCTTTATTAAAAATTTTGATATTTCTTGAATATATTTTGTGTAAATATTGAAATCGTTTTGAAAAAATTAATGCTTTCTTCATAAATTAAAAATAAAATTAAATTAAAAATTAATTAAAAATGTTGAAGAATTTGAGTGCCAAATAGAAAATATTATTCAAGTTTAAATTTATTAATCGTATTTCTATTTTATTGGATATGAATTTTTAAATGTATTTATTGTTTTACTTATGGGCTACATTTTTAATCACATTATTATTTTCTAAATTTTTTTTCCTTTTGGGACCCAAACTTTTAATTAATTTTGATTATTAAGGTAGGTACTTAAGAATTTTTATTTTTCTAATGTATATACTTTATCTAACAACTGTTCGGTTAAAACAACCTGTGTACCTTAAAACAGCTTATTTGTTAAAAATAATTAAAATTTATAAATAGATATTAGATAAAAAGAAAATTATTGTAAAAATTCAAAAGTAATTTATCTTAATTATAGTAAATCTTTGATATAACAAAAAATATTTATTAATTTTTAAATCTTATATTATTATAATTTATTACTTGGAACATTTTTCACAATTTTCAAACTGATACTTTTTGTACAATAAGCTTAAAAACTATATCAAAAAAAAAAAAAATTAAGTAATAAATAAAACAGAAAGTGCTTTTAAAGCATTATTAAGCATTTTTAATACTTTTAATAAATACCTATATAATTAAATACAAAATAAAAAAAAAAAAAATATGGAATGTGCACAAATACCTTTGTACCATAATTTTTTATATATTTTCTTAGGTGTTGTTTATAGGAAAAAACGAATTACATAGCTGCTTTTAAGGTAAAAACTTTTAAAGGATAATTTAAGTATATTAAGTAATAAAATTTTTATTGAAGAACGAATTTTCTTTTTATCATTTTTTTAAGGCAAACCGTGTAAATCAAATTGGGTATATAAATTATGTGTTCGATCATAGACAACTTTTGTTAAACGTAACATTTTTGGTAAATTTGTAATTGATTTTTCAACATCAGTACAAACTTTATTGAGTAGATCTTGTTGAACTGGTAATGTATACATTGCTAAAACTGCAGCTTTTCTTATTACCCAAGGATGATGTTTTGCTAATGTATCATTATATGCTGCTTGACATACAGCTGATGTTTTATCACTCGGGGAAAGTTTTGATAATTGCATTAAAAACTCCAAAATGAACTCTAAAAATATTTACTCTTATCAGTTTTTATATAAAATTTTATATTTAAATATTATATATATTTTTTTTATCAAATAATTTTTAAGATTTATATTGTGTTAAATTACCAAGGCCACGATGTAATCTTAATAATGTTCTGCTTCCTGAAACATAACGACTATTTTTAAACATCTCATTAGACTTTTCATAATCTAACATTAATTTAATGGAAGCAAATAATTCACTATTGTCATCATTATAACGAAAATCTTCCAATACAGCAATTTTAGTAATAACATCAGAACTAACGAAATTAAAAACTGATCCAAGACTTTGGAAAAATCTAAAAAACCAAAAGATTTCTTATTAACATAATATTAAAAACAAAAAATATCTATCTTATCTACTACTATAAATCATAATCAGGGAATCATGTGAAAAATGAAATAATAAGCAATGTTATTATCATTTAAAATACAATTTTTAAAATTCATTCATAGGTAAATAATTTCCAACATTTGGACAATATAATTATTTTGAATTAGAAAAACATTTTCCTATTTACTTATGACACCTAACTTTATTTTGTATTCTTATTTAATGCATAACTATTATAGAATAGTTAAAAAAGTAAAATTATTGCGCTTATTTACATGTGTTAATAAATTTTACACAAAAGCGTTCGTATAATTTGCACATTCAAAAAATGTTATTGCAAAAGGAAACGTTCATTGTTTTTGCAAAACAAAAAACACGAAAAAGTGTTCTATTTATCTTATCTTTAATCGCAGAATTCTACAGAATCATTTATTTTTGCATGTTTTAAAAATTATATACATGTATGTTCATATATACAAAAAATATGTAAATCACATAAATTTTTGCGTGTTCAATTGAATTTTTGATTGAACTTACTTATTGTATTCCTTATAAGCTTCTAAATAATTATCCAAATACACATCATCATCGTCCTTGAGACTGAAAAACAAAAATTTTAACAATTTTTGCACAAATAGTTCATCATTTTTTTTATTTACCTTTGTTCTAGAGCATCTGAAACTTTTTCTACATCAAAATTTTCAGACATTTTCTAATTTTTTCTAAAGAAATTGATTTTTGAAATTTTTATTCTAAACAAAAAAAGAAAATTTTTTTTGTTAAAAATTTAATTAGAATTATAAACAGATGTTTATTTTCTTTTGAAGTCGTCAGCTGAATGAGGAAAGTTTTTCGTACGAAGCAATAATTCTATTTTATTAAAAAATAATAATATTAAAGCTCATTTTAACTACCATCGAATATAAAAAACACTACTACATTTGTATACATCAGTTTGACATTGACAATTTAAATGAAGAATTTCATATATACAAAATTTAATTTCTTTTAATTGCTGGAAGCGCTACAAATTTCTTTTTTGTAATTAAAATGTATTAAGTTTTTATTCTAGTTTAGTACTTTTGTATAAGGTAACATCTCCATTGCATTAGTAGTTATATTTTAGGATTTTTTTGTATATACTCGTATATTGTTTAATTCAATACGTCAAATTAACTAAAATTAAGCAATTTAATTAAGTTTTGTCTTTTTTTTATTTTTGCACAGTGGAGATTGTTCAAATAAATATACATATATGCATATTATATTTGCTCTTGTTTGAAAGGTGAAAAATTATAATTATATTGTCTGCTTTGTTTAAAAATTTCCAATTAAAATTTTTCCAGAATTGGATAATTTCATGCTCGCCATTTCTGTGTCGGCACTCAACCGACAATTTCTGCTAGAAAGGACAATAATGACAAAAAAAATCATGCATTCTCAGTGTGAAAATATAAAATTCTAACAGGAGAAGCGTACTAATATAAAATTCTACTTCTAATATTAATTGAAACTTTTCCAGTTAGTACAAATAGAATAGAAATTCATAATTTTTCGAACTTTGATATTTATTAATTTTGCACAACCCTGATCAACGTTTGATCGAAATTATGATCCAATACTCATATGACATTTCCAATTTTGAATTCAAGTTAGATTAAAAATTCGTTTTCGTTTAGTACTTTGATTTTCAAAAAGTTACCAAAACAAAAAAAACTAAGTTAGCTTAAAAAACCGAAAAAAATCTGTACAGTAGCGATTAAAACATATATTAATAAAACCCATAATAAATCTTTTGATGTTACAATGCCAATTGAGACTGATATTAGTACATTTAAAATGTGGGCCAGTAAAATGGGATGCCCAATTAATTGCGTACCTACAGATGAAGCATTAAAATCGTAAATATTTATTTATATTTAAATAATTACACTTTGAGTATAATTTTTTCTTGTAATTATTGTAGATTATTTCGATCACGTCAAAGCTCTTTGCTATTTAACATTATGGAAAGAGTTCGTCCAAAGGATGAAGTCGAAGAAATTCGGAAGAATATTTTATTATCCAGAATGAAAAAAGTTTCTGGTAAAACATTAGAGGTAAGATGGCTAAATAGTCCTTTGAATTTTGAATTTTGAAATAAAAGTTCTAGAAATATGAACGTGGTTTTGGTCCAAGAGAGTATCAAAGATACTGCGAAATTCAAGATTTAGAGAGCGAAAAACATTCTGTTGAACAAAAAATAAAAGAAGCACAAGAAAAGTGTAATATGGATTTATTGAAATCTAAAAGTAATTTTATGAAACATAATTGTTTTGTATTTATTTTAAACTAATATTAATTGCTTTTAAGTTATACAAAAGGAGAAGTTAACATCTACTCTAAAAGATTTAGAGGTAAGATGTAATATTCTGGAATTAAAATCTGAAGATTTGGATGAAAAAATTGCTGCAGAAGAAAAATTAAAAGAAAAAATAATGAAATTGATTCCAGCCAAGTTAACATCACTTAATATGAATGAAGAAAATGCTTTAAAAGCAATCACAGAAGCCTTAAATCAACTTGATGAATTTTATAATATATGTTTAACAAGCTCAGATTGTAAGTAAATAAAGATGTTTCTGTAATTTTTTTTTTTTAAATATTAAAGTCCTGTCTATAGCTCATTACATTGAGGAAGCTAAGGAGAAATTGTGGTCAAAATTAAGAAATATATTTTTAAAAATTCCAAATTCGTCATTGTGGAATGTATTAATGCGAATGAAAGAAGAAGAACTACAAAAAATAAAAGATTTAAATAATATTACTAATAATAAAGATAATGAAAAATTTAAAGACTGTGATGATATTAGTGATTTTGATTTACAGATAATAAAAGCAAAATCTTCTGTTTTGAATTTAGTTGGAAATTTTCTATCAATTAAAAGAGAAGAAAACCATTGGAATGATAAGTTCACCTCAAATTATGATAAATTTTGTAATGAAATTAAATTTAAAATAAGTGCTTTTGGTGCAGAAGATTTAGATGATGAAGATGAAGTTTTGTCAGATTATCTTGTACAATATAACACATATAGTTATAATAAAGGGCAAAAAAATTTTTTAATAAGTGAAATTGAACGTTGCAAAAAATTAGTTGAAGAAAATAATAGAGCTTTGGAAGATCATGAACTACTTCTTGGATCCTTAAAACAAATGTATGCAGAAATTGAAGCAAATGTGAAGCGTACGCAAAATAATGTGGGACAATTGAATGAAGTTAAAGATAAAATACAATATTCAAAAATTTTGTTACAACATTTGATTACTGATATTCAATCAAATCGCAATCAGATAGCAAATAAAGTAAAAATGAATTTATCGGGAGAAAATTCTACTCTGAATATAACAATGTCAACTGATAGGTTAAAGCTGACACCCCCAGGCCCTGGTTTATGTAGCACAAAATTAGATATGGACGTTACTAATTCGACCTTTGTTGGATTTAATACGACATTTAGAGGAAATACTTCAATGATGATTAATCAGAATCACGGCTTAACAACCCTTCCCCAATATACCAACGAATTAGTTTTGTTTAAGGATATACCTATAAAAAAATTTAAAACTGTTCCAAAAGAATGGTAAATATTTTTGATATTTGAAAAAAATTATTGCAAAAAAAAAAAAATAATGAATCATTTAATTTTTACAGTCAATTTACTATATTGAAGGACTCGCTATTAAATGAGTTACCAGATCCCACATCTTTATTGCAACATTGCTCAATGTTTTTATTAAGACCAGAAACTGTTTTATTAAAATTTAAAGAAAAGCTTGAATGGTATGATAAATTGCAATCTGTTGATACTGATATTCAAATGGATTTTAATTTACCGGAGAGTAAGTATATTTACAAGAGTGTTTTTATCAAAATTGCAATTCAAATATTTTATAACATTTAGTTAATGAAGAAAATATAAAGAGCAAATTAAAAGAACAAAATGAGGAAGTTATGCAACTGATAGATGAAATTAAGGAAATTGGCATTAACTCTGAAAGATTATTGGCAAAATCAAAGAGATATTATGATTTTCTAAAAGAAAATCCCTTAAAACAATTTATCCCAGCTTCTAAATTAGTGAACAATCAAACCTATGCAGATTATGATGCTGAATACAACATGTACTATAGAATGATCAGCTCTTCGAAAAATAGTCATTAAATGTTTTTGAATGTGTAACTATTTTTATTTGCGGTAAGTTAAGAAAAGAGTTATTTCGAAAGTTATGATAGTAATTCCGTTTAAGCTTAGGATTAAAAAAAAAATTGTATTTTGGATTTGTAATAGCTTTGAAAAATATATTTTTTAAATAATTTATTATTTGTACACGTCTATAAAATATGGACTAGATTTACATTGCGTTTGTTTGTCCCACAAAATATTTGAAAAAATTGCAAAATAAAATTTTCAAAGTCCATTCTAGAATGTTTAGCTTTGCAAGAACACAAAGCAGTTTAGAACAAATTTTTGAAAATGTAACTTTTACAAATAAATATTTTAAATCTCAAAAATAATTAATTTGAATTTTTTTTAGTATCTTATTGTGCAGCACCATTAAACAGCGCATTTAGTTTGTAATAAATTCAACTTTTAAATTGTTCTTGAAAAAACATTTTAATTTATTTTGTTTTTATACATTAAAAATTATTTTATCTTAAAAGTAAAAATGTACAAAATTTACTAACATTAAACATATTTTTCATTCATACAAAAATTTGTAGCGTTAAAAATTAGCGTGTTAAAAATTATAAATTTGTAATATCACAAAATTAAAGTTTTTCATACTTCAGTCATTTCTATATACATATATTTACTTTTAGTTTTCTCAATTATACTTTTAGTTTTCCTTATTTTATTTTTTAAAGCTAAAAGTATAATTGTTCAATAAAGGAACCAATACTTTTATATTTTTAGCGTTGCTGTTCGGCCAAAAATTCATCAGACATCATTAGACCTGAAAAAGGTGTTTTATTTGAATGTCTTAAATATAAAATTTCTCCATAAAATTTTTTCTTAGCAAATTCAAAATTAGAAAATAATTAAAATAACTTTACCCGCAAAACTAGCTGATGTAAAGCAAACGAAACAGCCTACTATAAATGACCTCATTGCTACTTTTGTTATATGTTTTTTCCTTCCTGGGGCCATTGTTCCTAATGCACCCATCATTATACCTAACGAACTAGGATTTGCAAAACCGCAAATTGCAAAAGTTGTAATGCCTGCTGCTCTCGGCTGTTAATATAAAAATAAAAATTGTAATACGTAATTTTTTAAAATTTTACAAATTATGTATTTTAGTTTGCAAACTACAGGTTGTAATCCATGTGACAATTTTTGTAATTTAATTTACAAAAATCTGTAACATTAAATTTAATTTTTATTGTATTGTAACAATAAGATCGGACTGTAAATTTAAATTAAAGATTATATACTTACACTTATTTTATTAGCCTTTATTAATGCACCAAGCTTCTCATAAGCAACAAACTCATTTACAACAGTTTTTGCAGCAATTACTCTTCCAACTTTCTCACATTCACTCCATTCAATACCAATTATCCAACTGATTGGCATAAATACTTTTGACATTACCCATTCAAAATCGATGTTATCTAAACCAACTAGGTATCCAAGCCAATTTATAATGCCATTCAGAAAAGCAATAAAAGCAATAAAAGCTATAATATTTGCTGCAATTCCTAAAACAATTGGAATAGCATTTGAGGCCCCATTAGATGCTGCATCTAAAATTGAGGAATCTCCTCTATTAAAAAAGGTAAAATTCGTATAAAAAGTAAAAAATAATTAAATGAAATTTTTCTTACGATTTTTCCATTTGTATTTGATTTGAACCAGTTTTAGTTTTTTCATTTTCTGGATAATATAATTTAGCCATACCTAAAGCTGCTGGGGCTGCCATAACACTTGATGTAATTAATAATGCTGCTGAAGCTCCATATGATACGTATGCTGCTAAAACTGTTCCAGATACAGTTGCAAATCCTGAAGCCATTACAGCATGTATTTCAGAATGTGTTAATAAATTAAGATAAGGTCGTATTAATAAAGGACTTTCACTCATTCCTAAAAATATATTTGCACCAGCATTTAAACTTTCACATGCAGTTGTACCAAGCAACGAAGAAATCATCCATCCAATTTTTTGTACAACAAATTGCATAGCTCCCAAATAATATAAAATTGATATAAAAAAACTGAAGAAGAATATAACTGATAATAGTGCAAAATAGAATGTATTCCATTCAACTAATTTAGCACCATAAACGAATATACTTCCAGGTCTTGAATAATTTAAAAATGTTACAACTTTATCTCCTAAACATTGAAATATTTTACGACCAACATCCCATCTAATACATATTACACCTAAAATAAATTGACCAGTGATACCAACTAAAACTGGTCGCCATTTAATAGCTTGTCGATCAGCTGAAAATATATATCCAAGTGATATAAATACGAATGGGCCTGCCAATGAAACTAATCTTTTGGGATCATCTTTTGTTTCAATAAATAAATAAATTGCAATTCCAATAATTACTAAAATTGCTAAAATTATTCCAAAAATTTTGGCAACAGTCAATGTTTTAGTTACTCTAAAAATTTAGATAAAAATTTATTTTTAAAATTTTCAAAAATTGATTTATAATTTACCTTTTGATTAATATTTTTTTAATTGTATTATCATATAAACGTCCAATAGGTTTTTCAGTGACTGGTTTTATTATATAATAATAAATTAAACAAATGTATACAATGCATGTAACAATTAAAAGCATCCCGTAACCATCACAGAATTGAAAACCACAGCTACCATGACACCTGCCATCAGTAATATTTGTATTATTTGGATCTGGATATATTTCCCACGTACGATGTTTGTTTTCTAAAATTATAATCTCAAAAATTATAATAAAATCTTCAATATTATAATAAAAAAAAAATTTGATATTTTCTAGGATTTTTTTTTGATACCTGAATCTACGAAAAAATATGTAGCGTATGCAAAATAACTTCCTACTATTATATGTGTTAAAACAATTAAAATAAATTTGATTATTTTCTTATTCTTTTCATAAAATTTCATTAAAGCACTTGGTTCATCATTATCTTCATTGTTATCATTTGAATTTTCTTCATTTCTTGAATCCTTCAATTAATTTAAAAATTAAATTGTTGTATTTTGTCGTAGGTATGAATTATAAAAAAAAATTGAAGTTCATTATGCAAAAGCTTACCGGTCCTATTGTTAATGTACTAAAATTGTCATCATTTTGTCTTCTTTTAAGTGGGATCTATGGAATAAAATAAATAATATGAAATTAATTTTATTTTTGAATAGGATAATTAAACTCACATCATTTTCATCATTACTGTATCCAATATTATCTTTTCCATTCATATTTTTTTTTTTTAAATTTATCTATAATTTTAGTTCTGTTCTCTAGAGGATTTCTGAAAAATAGTTGGAAAATTATAATGATAATTATAATTATATCTAATTAGTCAATTTATGTATTAATTAAAGTACACCTACTTAATCACCATTTCTAATTTTAATTTCAAAAAGTATTCTTAAATTATAACATTTTAAAAGGAGTAGCCCTAAACTTTATGAATACATAAAAATTAAAATATTGAGGAGAAAATTTATAAAAAATGTCAATTGTTCTTTTTATACTGTACTAGTAGCTAAGATAGGTTTAAAGTGCAATAAATTACTGAATTAGTTTAATATATTAAAACTAAACTGTTATAATAAATTATAACAGTGTTGTAAAATCTAATATTCTATAAATTAAAATAGACTACTTTTTAGCATTTGTTTGTGTAGGAACCTTGCAATTACAAAAAATCATTCTGTCTTCTATTTTCTACCTTCTGTATTTTTGTCAGCTGCGGTAGGTACCGTTGTTATAATTTACTAAACTAATTCAAAATTTTCAACTATTTCAGTTTACATAGAACAATTATTTTACATAGAGTAAAGAAAACCCTCGTTTCATTGTTTGCATTTTAAATTATTAATTTCTCTAATTTGTATTTACTGTTATGTAGTTAATGTATAACGGTTAGAATATAAATTTTCTATATTTTTATAATATTTTTTAGTTAGTTAATAAATTATACAACATACATACATACATACATAATATACAAGTATTGAATGTTGTTCAGTTTTAATTTGAACGGGCTTGTTATTGTTTGCCTCTTTATTTATGGGTACATAATATTGTAAATATAATTTTGTATGATAACAATTTTTAATATTATCTAATATATTACTGTAAATGCAATTAGGATTTACCTATAAATATTAAATTTTATTATCTATATTAATATTTTAATATTTGTGATAAAAAAATTAATATATATCAAAATATTAGTTTAACAAATGAAATTCTAATTAATTACAAGTAAATTAAAAGTGTATCATAAAATCAATTGAAGTATGTTTGGATAATATTATTAAATTATTTACGACCTTGGTAAAATGCATTTTTGTTATATATAAAATTGGTGTATGATACAGATGTCCCGCTGTAGATTTTTGTTTCATTCTCAAATTTTCTCAAAATTTTCTAATCTATTAAAATATAATAAATTAAGCAATATAAAACATTTATACTGTTATATACGATTGTTAATTAATGTAAATATTGTACCTAATTTCTAATTTTTTCCAAAGGCGGTATCAATACTTTGTTAATTATGATATTTGGAAAGAAAAAGCTAATAAAACAAATAATTTAGTTAAATTATACTTAATAAAGTACCAGTATATTCAAGTATAACAGAAACGTTAAAACGATTTGATATTACAATTACTAAATAACAAATCAAAATTAAAAATCGAATTAGCCCCGATCAGCATTTTTTCATTTCGTCAGCTTTGCCTCACAAGCGGCAAGAGGTAAAATTCGAAATATGTACATTGTCATACTTCATAGTGGAATTTATCAACCACTGGTAAATTCTTCAAAATACCAAAGACGTATAATATCGGAATGGAAATGATGATTCTTAGAAGAACACACGTTTTAACAATTCTGTTTTACGTTATTTATAGCAGTGGACATTTTATAAATTTAATATAAACTGATATATATCGTTATAATCACGAGTATATACGTAAGTACATATGTTTCAGTGAACAGCTTGTATTCTATGACTTAAAATAAAAGAATTTTCAAATGAAAAAAAAAAAAATTGTAAATTCCCAAATTAAATTGTGTATATTTGTTAATTTTATATTAGTATGTGATTAGTATAAATTTAATGGGGGTTATTTTTTATGATTATTTTGTAATTTAATCAAAAATTAATAAGAATTTATATGTATAGTGTTTAAAAGTTATACTCAATTTTATATACATTTACATACGCTTATGAACTTAGTTATCAAAATAATCTTAAGTATAATTTAATCGGATTTTTTTTTTATGATTCATAAAGATTAAAGCAATTTAAATTCAATGATATCTCGTATTATATCGTAAAAATTTAAAATATATTTATTTTCTTATACTTGTATATGCTTGTATAACACTTTTATATTGCAATATAATATATGTGTATGTATAAGTGTTTAAATTAAACTACAATATTTCATAGAAAAGAAAACAAATTTATATTAAATTAAATAAACAAAATAATAATAAATTATCTTTCTTTTTAAAAAGAAAAAAATAAAATAAAATAAATAGGCTTTATGGGAATATGTAAAATTTTATTAGAGTACTTTATAAATTAAGAATTAGATTTTAAAATATAGATAAAACTGGGTCACAGAGAGCTTTTGTATTTCAAATGTTTTTTTTTTCTTTTAAATACGTTCTTATAAAAAAAATTAGATAATGAAAAATGGGTATAAAATTACGAAAAAAAATAGAAGAATTTTTTTTAAATTCACATTGTTAAAAAATATATCGCAAAAATTATATACACATGCAATATATTTTTTTTGTAAATGAAGTGTTTTGATGGGTAAATTCTTTATTGGACGTAATGTTTGGCAATTTTAATAAAATTTTATATTTTTTTTTTTTTTAATTTTTTTAAATTAATTTGAAAAATTTTTTTCTTAAATTTTATTTTATTGTAAATAGTTAATTAATGTAAGCATAATAATGTAATTTACAGGGTGTACGCCATCCATGGCTTCAAAATTCCAACAATATGATATTGTTATACACAATATATTCAGTATCTGGGTTGTAATATCTGAATTGAGTATGACAATACTATAGTATTAATTGTTTTGCAGTAATATTGCAATTTCCAATTGCAGATATGGTATATAATAGTAAGAGTACACCAAACTGTTATATTTTCAAGCGAATATAACATTTATTACTTTCTAGTTACCGCAGTATTTTATTAACTTAGAATAGAATAGAATTGTAAATATTGAAAATTAATCAATGGTTTAAACCTGCATATACATAAAATATCAAATTTTAATTAATATGTAAATAATCAGTATAACAGAAGATATAAATTCGAAAATTTATACTTTTTTTAGAACTTGTTTGATTGTTATACAATGATCATGTTTAATAAAACAATTAAACCCACTTATTTAACAATAATAATATATTTTATTGATTACAATTGACACAATCGATAAATTTTATGAATTAAAAATTTTGCTAATTAGAAAACTTTGCTGATAAAAAATCAAAGGTAAACCAAAGTTGAAGATCTAATTGACGCAAATAGCTAATAAATTTATAAAGTGATACTTATAACAAAATAAATAACTTTAAACCGAACTAAATAGCAAAATTACTGTTATACAAATACAAAATGTTTTTATTTTTTATAATATAATTTTTATAATTATAGGAAATATACAACATTTATTATAACAAATATTAAACAAATATTTAAAATTATAAATTTATTTTATTTAAAAAGGGAATTTTCACATAATTTGTTTTTATTTATATTTTTGAATTCGCACAGAATTCATTCAAATATTCATTTAAAACCTCACTTTATTAAAAAAATTCACTTTCTCTTGTACTTTATTTAATATTGTAAATTATTTTTGTTTTGTTATATAATAACAACTTTATTTGTTTATTTACTTTTATTTAAATTAAATATTTTTCTATTATATTTTTATTATATATACAAAAATTAAATATATAGAAAAAATATTTGTTGAAATTCATTAAATATTTATATAATTTTTTCAAAATATTTTTATATTTAATAATATTAAAAATAATATTAAAAAAAATATTTTACATTTTTATATAATTTTATTTGAATTTTTCTTGAAAATATTAATGAGTATATATATATATTATGTATATATATATATATATAAAGAAGTACGAAAATAATTCATAAAAATATTTTTAGTATATAAATATCAAATATTATCTTAAGTGTTTAATAAGGAAGGCCGTTTTTTTATTCACTATACTAAAATATAAATTTATCATATATATTTATAGCTACTAAATATGTATAAACATAATATAAGTAGTAAATAATTACACACAAATAATTATATATAGTTAATTTCAATGTTAATAGATTACATAATATAACACTATAATGATAATATAACAATAATAATAATAATTTAAAATTATAAGAAAATAATTGCACTTGAAACAATAAAAATCCATTCAAATTTAAACTACATTAGATTAAGAACTGTTGTAACAGTATACTGGCCACGTTGTTATTCTGACTAATGATATATAGTATTAAAAGAAGTATACTATGTTAGTGCTATGTTTCATGATAGTAAAGAGAAATTATCTATATTTTAAATATACACGATAATGACCTATAAATGTAATGACCTTAAAATTGTAATATGCAAAAAAATTATAATGAGTTTTTTTAAAATTATTGCGAATATATAAATAATTTTATTTAATTATAAAAAATTTAAATTTTTTATTATTATTTTTTAAATTAAAATTTCAGTATAAAAATTAATTAATTATTCGTACTTTTCAAACAGAGAAAAAAAAAAAAAACAAATTTTTTTTAAATTATAATGAAAAACACGTTTTGAATATTTTCGAATACCGAAATTTTGACATCTGTTTCGTTTCAATGAATATCGATAACTAAAATAGGTAAAATACCTGTTAACAAAAAAAAAAAAATTAACTGTTTTTTTTTTTTGTATTTTTCTTTTTGTTTTTATTTAATTTGTAATTTTTTGAATGAGAGCTATTTTTAATAGTATTTAGTATATATCAAGATATAAACGTATTTATGAGAGCCATTCGGTATATGAGATATATACAAATGAGTTTAGGTACTTATACTTACATATGGATGTATATATGGTGTATATATGCATATGTATTTGAATGAATTAGATTTTTTTGCTTAATTAAATCGAATATAATTTGTTTTTTAAGAGTTTTTAATTTTTTTAATGTTCAAATTTATATGTGAATGTATCTGAATTCTGTTGTTCTATATTTAATTATGATCATTATTATGATTTATAGTACACATGTCAAACAAGTGTCATTTTTATGAAGAGGATTATAAATCATTTTAAAAATAATGTTTAGAAGCAAAAAAAAATTAAAAATGGCACATACATTCAAATTATATAAGAGCCTTAAAAGTTATAAAGTGTCATAATCCATATTACTGCTCATTATAATTTATATCAAACTGGATTTTTCTTTAGATATTTTTTGATTTAAATCACATTTTTTTTTTGCTTTTCGTGTATGATGAAAATCACCAAACCTACAAAAACTAACAATTTGTTAAAAAATGCTCTAAATATATTGCTTGAGCTATTTTAATTCTGAGAAACTATTTCCGCAGTGCTATTTTATATCAATTTTTCTATTGCTGTAACATTATAATTTTTTTATATACTTAATTTTCATCGTAATTAAGCATACACATACATAAATTATTGCCCATGTAAACATCCCCTTAATTCTATATTAAAACATTAGAAAGAGTATCGTACTTTTATCGTGGTAGCTATTGTTGTGTAACTGTTATGTAAATTTTTGTAAACAATATTTAATTTTGTAAACAATATAAATTGTATACGAATGTATATTTTAAATGTACAATATTTAAATTTTATAAAATTTATTTTTTGATCTAACCGCCTTATATTAAAAACAAAATTATGGATTATGTGATTAATTATGTTGAAAAACATATATTTTTTTTTATGTGAATTCGATAACATATTTAATGTTCTTGTGGCCTTACTGTTTGTATGCCATTGTAAATTTCAAATAAATAATAAATGAATTATCGATTATATAATTATCGATAGGGAATCACTGTAAAAGCATTAAAATATGCTTAACAATTAATTATTAATTTAATTTAAGTAAAAATAATTAAATTTTCCCATTTGTAGTTAAGCAAAAATTAAATTAAATTTTTTCTTTATACATGTGATTTGGCAAATTATGAGTAGGGCCCGAGGCAAAAAAATATCTTTACATTTGGATTTAAGGAGAAGGATAATTAAGATACCATGATAAAAGTATTAAAAGATAAAAGGATAAAATGAGAAATATTATTTTTTCCAAATAAAATTTTATTGTTTTTATTTTGTTACAAAATTTTTATTGCATAATTTTTTGACATAGAGAAAATAAACAAATTAAGATTTATTTTACCTTCTTTTTGCCAAATTTAATAAAACGAAAAAAACAGAATTAATTCGCAAATTAAACAACTTACTAATATAAATTTATGATATATAACATTCGGCTTTTTTATCTAACAAGCTCATAAGCTCACAGTATATATTTATTATATTGATTTAGATCGAAATATAATATCTAGTAATTACTCTAGTATACTCTAGTATATAATTATCGACTAATTTAAAATTCGTTAAAAAAAAAAACTATAAAATTCGCAAAATAATTATAAAATATTGCCTGAGTTATCTTAATGGAAATTTCTTCATGCAACTGCAGAACAGATGGATGACGTAATCAAAGGAACGAGTTAAAGGCAGGAAAATTCATTAAAAAAATTTTTCTCCTCGAACTGGACTCGAACCAGTGACCTACCGCTTTCTAGGCGGACGCTCTACCAACGCACATTCTTATTAATTCGCAACTATGATGTTGTATTAGTAAAATTCATAATTGCCTGAGTATTGTCAGTCACAACTAATTTTAATTACGTATATTGTTTTCATATACAAAATAATAATGAGATTATCATTATTAACTTTTGTTGAGATCTTCATTTACATATAATAGCATAGCATTAACATGTGTACAATACTCTCAATAGAATATCAATATTTTCTGACTGAATACATTCGAGTGTATTTCAAAATTTTAATTGAGAGATTTTTTTTTATCTCATTCCTTTATCATAACACTATAACAACAATAATATAATAGCAGTAGTAACAATTGAAAGGAATCAGATTACTGATAAATAGTTTACAACATGATAATGATAATAATATGACGATTTAAACGACGAGCACATGTTGCCTCCGTACAACAAAACTGAATTAACTCAAAATTATTGATTTAGAGAAAACTGTGATAAAAAAAATTAATATTCGAAAAAAGATATTTTAGAAATTTCATTTTAGAATTATTTAAGTCTATTTCATACGTTCTATACAATTGATGGATGAATAAAAAAAATTTAATAAAATCTTTTTAAATATAAAATAATAATCATGGATGATTAATAGCAATATAAACTTAAATTGAGTTAAATAATATAGACTAAAATTCATTTTACTAAAATTTGTGAAAAAAATTAATTGAGTGGTTATGATTAAAATACTTAAATGTTTTTTTGCGTAAGACTTGCGTACTTTTAACCATGATTTGAAATTACTTTGAAAAATATTTTGATAATCTTATCACAAATTTATAAAATTTCGTGTGGCTTCTAGTTCTATTAATTTTAAATTTATTATAAGGTGTAGGTTTTTTAATATAAACTTAATACATTGGAATTTAATTTATTGTAAAAGAAATTTTTAAATCTATATTTCTAACACTTCATAGCTACTCAAGAGGTTTTTTTAAAGTTTTACAGATTATATGATTATAAAAAAAAAATTCTTGGAACTTTTTTGTAAATTTTTTATCACTATTAGAATTTTATGCCACAAATTTGATTTCATTGAAATAATAAAGTCCTTCCTCTCTTACGTCTGCTAATATTATCCCAATTTTATTCCAAATTTCAACATTGTACTGATATCGTTAATAGGAATGTTACAAATAATATATAGAATAATACTGCTCAAATAAATTTTATCTTAATTAAATAATTCCAATAATGCAATGCAAATTTAACACTATCTCATTTCGAATTTTGGAGAAACTGCAATGAAATGTAATTTTGACCTTCAATTCTTTAAGCTTTATTTCTAATTTTAATTTTAACTAAATTTCTATATTAAAATTTTTTTTTAGAATACAGCCATAAATATTATTTCATTCATTTGAATAAAAATGTTCTTACTAATGGTTCTCCTGAAAGTATGCAATCACAAAATATTTTATTAATTTAATATTGTAAATTTTTTTGTGTGCAGAGTGTGTTGAATATTTGTGTATGAGGTGTATTTTTTACAATTTGAATTTTTGAATTTAATTTTAGGTTAAGCCAAAAATTGGAATAAAATATAGGTTGTTTATTAGTTAATGTACAATAATTTTAAAGTAATAATCGGTGGATGGTTAAAATTTTATGCTTTTTATACAAAAACAAAAACTTAGTGTATCAGCTCATTCCGTAAATTGATATGACAATGTAAATTGAGTAAGACAGCAAATGATCCAGATTCTTATAATATACAATGGACTTACAGAGTAATTCATTAAGCATCTTATGTTTTGAGATGATTAAGGGACGATATTCTTGGATGCATGGAAATTCTAGTTAAATAATAAATAATAAAACTTTTTATTTTAATTTTTTTAATTTAATTTTTTTTTATTTAATTTTTTTTTATTTTTTTTTTGTGTTTTTTGTTCTCCTTAACGTTGCTTTAAAACTTTCTTTTAAATATATTTATTATATACTAATTTAATTATAGTTTAGTATATATTCATTATGATTTTATAAATTATATAATTATATCGGAAGAGAAATTAAATTAAATGAAATAAAAATATCAATAAAAAGTACTTATACATATATTGTTTAAAATATTATGCGTATACGTGTATATTCTACAAAAAAAAGGAATAATGAATAGCAGTATTTTTTCTTTTAATTCAAATGTCATGGTCTTTATTATAAAAATTAATTGATTTTTTTGTTAATTATTTGAATTAATTGATTAATTCATTAAAATATTAAAGAATTTTTAAGTTTTTCAATAAAATTTGTATTTTAACTGTTATACTGCAGAATAAATGTTCTTTTTTTTTAATATATACATATACGTCGTCGGTTTTTTTTAAATATAGTGTGTATTTTTAAAATGTTTAAACATTAAATCGATAGTATTATGATTTCTGTAAAAAATTATAAGGTCTATGATTAAAATGCAAATACGAACAACTTTGTAATTGATGGAAATCAAAATTTTAAATTACAAATTTTATTTTTACATATTCTTTTACAAAAATCGATTTATTAAAAAATATATCGTGTAAACAAAATAATATTTTGATTTTATAACGTTATTCGAATTACACCGTCTTTTGTCAAATCGAGATAAGTTTTTGCCAAACATTTTTAATTAAATTCAGTTATTATATACGTATATGTTTACATTTATTATATAGGGTGTTTTGTATGAATACAAATATTTTAAGGGATGATTCTTTAATGGATTTTCAGCAAAAAATCGTATGGTTGGGAGAAGGGGTTGAAGAAGGAGATGCAGATTTGCTTGTTTTCGAGCTAACCCCTATTTAAAAAAAAATGGTGTCAGATTTTTTTTTTCTCATATATAAATAAACCAATAATTTCGGAGTCGTGCAATATAGAGCAACCATTAGACACTTGTTCTACCCCACACCCATATGGTTTTTTGCTGGAAATTTATCATAGAATCATATCCTTGATACTAATTTGCAATCTTATACGCGTAACATCCTGTATTTTTATATATAATATATTATAATATGTGAAAAAACTCATATATATAGCAAAATATTATTTAATCCTTTAAAAGAAACGTAAAATATAACTACGATATAGTACAGTTTATTAAAATTAAAAATTAAAATAAAATAATATTTAAAACAATATTTATTTTTTTTTTCTTTTTAATAATAATTATTTGCTTAAAAATAAAGTATATTATATTTATATAATTTATTATTAATATGTACAATAATAATTTATATTAAAATTAATTAAAATTATTTATTTTTATAGTTTTTATATATAAATTTTATAATTAAAATAAAATTTAATTATACAATGTAAAATTATGAAAATTAAATTTAGGAAATTTTGTATTTTTTTCTCTTTTAATTGTGTACGTTCAATTAATATAATAAATTCATTAAGAAAACGTTTAAATTGTTATATGTATAATAATTATTATAACAATTAAATTATAAAATATTTATATAAAATATTTTATTCAAAATATATAATATTTTTCATAAAATAAAATTAAAAAATTTTTTTTTTTTCAACTTTTGGTTATTTTTCTTCTTTTTCTTTAAATAAAATACTTTGTAATTAAAATTTAAAAAAAAAAAATTAATATAATATTTGTATATAATAAATTATAACTAAAAACTTGAACTATATTATGTAAAATATAAATATAAAAGATGCATTTATATATAAAGTATATGTTATGTGAAAATATTATGTTAATATAAAATATATGTATGTATTTAGTACAAACACGAATTCATTTAGTATTAGAGTACAGTCAAACACTGCATACTGACTTGCAACTGTTTGATTACTTATTTGTATTCCATAAAACTGTATGATCGCATGCCCTTAAGCAATCCAACAGCTTGTAATTTGTAATTTAGTTTTTTTTTGTAAATAGTTTAGCTCATAATGTAATTGCAAAACTAAAAATTGTATGTTTGACAGAGCCCTTAAAATGTACTAGGAATTCAAAATGAATAAATTTAAAAAAAGTTTTGAAATTTGAAAAAATTTTGTTGTATAAAATTTTTCATTAATTTAGAATATTAAATTTTACATGAATTCATTTTCGAACATTTGTATAGTATAATATTGTGTATATATATGTATGTATTATTAGTCAGGGTTTATACTATTAAACATTGGTACATAACGTAATAGATTTGTTTGTTTTAATAAAATTTTGTTAAAATTTTATTAAAGTTTTGATATGTTTGAAATATTTGTATGAATAAAGTTTATTTCGCGTATGAATTAAGTTTGACATGAAACCTTCTAAATCCGGTTTGTATAGTAATTGAAAATATTATTAAATTGCTAATTTTATATTATTTTATTAACATTTATTCACTCTCAACTCACACTCTCAACTCTTATCACTCTCAACTCTTTTTTTAATTCATTTTTTAATTTCATTTAAATTCGTGAAATGCGAGTCGCGTTCAACCGTACTGTATTTTAAAATCTCTCTTGTTTTTTAAATTTCTGTCAACTTTATTTTTATACATCTGGTACGTTTACGTAATTCTCAATTAACGGTTACTCACTATAATACAATTTAAAATTTATGTGTTATTTTATACTGTTCTACTCTCTTCTGTATTCCACTCAAAATTAAATTAATTATATTGAATATCACTACGCTCATTACGAAAAAAAAATGTAGCGTAGTAGTTTGTAGTGCGATTGCAGAGAATTTTTTTTGTAGAATACGGAACAGAGTGTATTTTTGATAATTAATAATATTAATATTATTAATGTGTTGTAGAAGTACAAATGCATCTTATAGTAATTATTATTTAATTATAATTAATAATAATTAAAAATAATAAAATATTAAGGATTATCTAAAATTAAAAATTATTTTTTAATTATTAATTATTTAATATCGATATTTTGAATTGAATTTTTGTTACCTACGTTTATTTATAATGTGTCATTGAGAGAGTAAAATTTATTTATTTTTATTATTATTTTTGAGTTTTTTTTTGTTGCTGTAAATAATTGAGCATTTTCTTTTGTTTTTTGCTTCAAAATGAACTTTCTATTATTAATTTTAATTTTTTTTTTATTAATTATTTAACAATTATTTTACTTATTTTTTTTTTTATTAATTTAGTATGATGCTTAAACTTTGAACAATATTTTTTTTTGTTTAATTTTAAATTTGATATGTTTTATATTTTTGTTTTACATATTTAATTTATTTATATGTAGGTTTATTTTAAAATTTTAAATATTTATTATAAGTATTCTAAAAATTAAATATTTATATATAGTTTGAAGATGTGGTTAAATAACATCTTCACATTATGAATTATGTAGGTCATGTTTATTTGCCAAAGATGCTTTAATTCCATATAACATGTATAGTGTGATAATGGGGCATAAATATATTTTTGGAAAATGTATTAATTATGGCGTTAAGAAATTATAATAATTTTTCAATTTTTTTTTTTTTATTTTTCCAGAAATTTATTTCAAGCAATATAGATTTTTCAATATTGTTGAAATATTTTGATATATAGAATTAAAAACATCTAGTATAGCTATATACTAAAATAATTATAATTAGTATTTTATTTTATAAATTATTTTTAAAATTAATTTTAATTATTATATTTTTTTAAGTAGTATATGCCATCAAATTATAACAAAATAAAAAAAATGAAAATAAAAACAAAAAAGTAAAACAAATATGCAATAAAATTATTGCCTTAATTTTCTCATAAGTATTGATGTACTGTTATTAATTATACTGTTATAATCATCGTTATTTAAACTATTTTTACCTGTATTTGAATTTAAATTAATTTTCTTATTAGTATTTGAAATATTATTTTGACGTTTCTGTCTAATATGACGTCGTCCATTATTTCGATTATGATTATGATGTTCATGATGATGTTGTTGTTGTTGTTGCTGATGATTATGTTGCCTTTGTTGTTGTTGTTGTAAATGTTGTTGAATTTGTTGATTTAATATATGCCTTTTTATATGATGTTTTGATTCTAACGATGATGATGATGATAATGATGATGATGGCATCGATGATGATGATGATGATGTTGATCCTGAATTTTCAAATTTTTCATATTGTGCTGATGAAACATATGGTGCTAATGCTGATACTGTTGAAAATAATATTTCATCAATACGTTTTTTAGCAGTTGCATTTAATTTTTTGTCAGCATAATATAAAATATCTTCAGGATTAACACTATTATTATGATGATTAAATTCATGTTCATTAGCAATATTATGATGTCCATGATGATGATGTATATGTGTTTGATTACAATCTGTTTGTGTATATGATTGATCAAAATTTAAATAATCGAATGCATTAAAATCTAATGGTGTTCTTGATCTTTTAAGTGTTGAACTTCTTAAACCACGTAAATCAATTAATTTTACATCGAGCCTTGGTGACCTATTTATTATATAACAATTAAAATAATGATAATAATAATTTAATATTTTTTTAATTAAAATATTAAAATATTATTTAAAATTTATTGTATATATAATTAACATACTTTGGCACTTTCTCCATATCAGCTGGAGTAGTATAGTATATCCGGTACGCATTCCAGGGTAACGCTGGATCTATATATATTTTAATAAAATATGAAAAAAAAATTTTCTTTTATTAATAAAAATTAATATGAGAGCTGTGAAGCAATAATTTTAATGAAATATAAAAAAAAAGCACTCATTGTGGGTGAAAATATTATATAGTGAAAAACAATGAGAAAAGAAAGCAATAAATATTATTGTTATGTAAGTGTTATAAATGTGTTTAATAAATTTGAGCATTTATTAGTGTGCTAATAATAATAAAAAGACGCAAGTTTATTTATATATATACACACATATATATATAATTTTTAATAAAGATTATAATACAAAAAAAAAAAAAATTCACACACAATTTTCTCAAATATTAGGTGGTTTAATAAATGCATGCAGCAAATTTGTTTTTTTAATTGAAAAATATACAAAAAAAAAAAACATGAAAATTAAAAATTCAACATTAAAACCTATAATATTAATTTTAGATATATACTTGTTTTAGTAATAAATTGTTAATATTTTCACTCTTAACAAATAACAGCCAGCTTACCCAACATTTAATTTATATCACTCATATATATATATTATATGATTTCTCATAATGAAAAAACAAAAATCTCATTATTTGAGAACAATATTTTGCCTATAATTCTCAAAATATACTCGTATAAAAGAGAAACTACTCATAATATTTTGTTAACGGGTTTCTTTTGATTAAAATAATCCTATAATTATACTTGCATGACAAGAATTATTGTTCATTTTATGTTTACAATAGTAATATTTTCGTTTGCATCATGTATAAAGAAAATACTATTGTATTTAATTTTAATTTTAAACTGTTCTATTCCTAAATAATGTTTATAAGTTTTGTATTTCGAAGTTTATATTGTTATTTTTACATAATATATGAAAATAAGTGATAGGTGTACTTATATTCACTCCTATTTCAAATATTTTTTTCATGGTTTATGGATTTTCATTACATTCTATGAAATATGAGTATAAAATTATTTTTTTTGCTAAAAAATATTCTAATATTTAAACTCATAATATAGTATAGAATGAATATACTATTCTTAAAGAAATTAATAATGCGTAAATAAATGTTTTTTCCTAAATAAACAAAAATATAAATGATTTTTTTTTGTTTTTCATGTGATATGCAGCGAAAATTTCGTGCGAAAAATTTTTTGTTTTAAAAATTCTGTTCTACAATTTCCGTTTTTAATTTAGTTTAATGACATTTTTAAACTATATTTTATTTATTTTGTAATTTTAGATCAATAATATTAAATAAAAAGTGAGGGGAATTTAATTTAAACTATACATATATATTATGCTTATGTAAGTATTTTATGCAAAATAATTCAAATATTTCTCTTACGGACCACCTACAATACATTTAAACAAAATTTTCGTTTTTATTATATATTTTTGTTATACGTATATTTTAGAAATTATGTATATGGTTTTGAAGTTTTCCTTCTTGAATTTAATTTCAGATTATTCTTTTCCAAAAAAAAAAAAAATCACCATAGACCACCATAGGAATAGAATTGAAAACCCTTTATAAATCTATGTCTCCCGTATGTTAATAATAATTGTATATTATGCAAGAAATAGTATATCATATGTTTGTATATTATGTATAAGAGAGTATAAGGAGAATATATTATTATGTTGTATATGAAAATGAAAATTTAATTTTTATAATACCTATTTATTTATATACACGTTTTTATTTTTTTTTTGTTGTGTGTATGAACATAGAAATAAAGAAAATGAAAAAAAAAAATATAAAAAATGAATAATATTATTTTTATATTTTTTCTATTTATTTTTTTTTGTTTGGTTTTTTTTAGTAAAGTTAGCAAATATCAAACTTGAACACCACACACTTACATGCCTGCGAGCATTTTGGCGGCTCGAAATATAATCCAGGTTTTAATGGTCTCTCTTCTTCATCATGTACTTCAATTGTTAACCATCCAACCATAACTGGTTTACTATCATTTGTATTATTATGATTTTGATCATGTGATTGTTTATCAAATTTATCCCATATATTAATAGCACGTTTAACATCAATTTCAACCCAACCACGATGTGAACTATTTAACATAACTGTATTACAAATACGTTTTTTTCTATCTGTATATGTAAATAATTTAAAAAAAAAAAAAAAACAAGAGAGAGAGAGAGAGAGAAAATAAATAATTTGTTTTTGTATATATTTTGTTAATTAATTGCATATTATTAAATTAAATTTGGAAAAAGTATTTTGTAAATTATCTTGAATTTTAAAACTATACGTGTGTATGTTTTAATCTCACTTCTTCTGTGCCACTTTTTTAATTCTTTTTTCTGTCAAATTTAGAATGCTCAATTTCTCCTCTCAGTATGTAATTACAATTTCGTAATATACAAAACTATAAAGTGAACTAAATTTATTATTTTCGAGAACAATGTATTTAAATTGCGTTTAAACCGACGAGGCCGGTGACCGACTCACTAATTTCCATTAATTTGAGATATGAGTAGGTATGACATTCTTCTTATTCTCACTTGTAATTTGTAATTTTACTCGATTATTATAATATATTCAGAATATACGAATAATTGATTCTCGTTTTTTTTTCTTTTATTCTTTTTCGATGAGAAAAACACAGGTGTGATATTGGTTATTGTGAGAGTGATATTTTTGTGAAATGAGTGAGAGTAACATTTTGACAAAATATTTTGGCAATTTTCACCATCATTATTTTGTGTATATTAAAATTTGCACGAGTATACAGATTAAAATTTTCGTATTAAAATTAGAATTATGCGTGATTAGATTTTTATTTATATACGGTCTAGAAATCTCGAATAAAAAACAAAACAAAAAGAAAATTTAAAGGCCTATTGAACTATAATTAATTTTTTTTTTCATATTTCTTTGATAAAAAATAAAGTGTATCTCGTGTCAGTCATCAAAATGCTCTCTATCAATTTGTTTTCTATTTTTTTTTTTTGTATACTGTATATGTATTTTACTATCATATAGGTAAAATACGAATATTTATATTTAAATATGTGTTTTGTTGAAAATATTTTGGACCATGTATTCGGCTAGTTTAAATACGAGTACAATAACAAATTTTTAATCTTTAATTAATTTTTAGTGAGAAACGTAATCAATTTTTTTTTTTTCAAAATGTTTATATTATTTTTACCTCTTCTATTTCTACGATGTGCTTGTATTGTTGATACTGTAACACGTATTTGTGCGTCCATCGGTGGTTGATCACAATCATTACTTTCAGCTGATCTTGTTGTTCTATTTGTTGTATTATGAGGATTTAATTTATATAATCTGTAAAATAAATTTTTTTTTTATTATTATTTTATTCTTTTTAGTAATTATAAAATTTTATAAAATTAAAGAAAAATATAGAGTTTGTATGTTTTAAATTTATTTACCTTAAAACTGCTGTATCCAAATATAAATTTTTTTCATCTCTTACGAAAAATGATGCCGAAAATTTTACTGTTATATTATTTTCATGTAACCATTGTGTTTCATTATTTTGATTACATGATGGATATGCTGCCATTTCATGTGTTAATTCTTCGGGTGGAGAAATTTTTTCACGTATATCAAATAATTTATTACGAATGTTTTCTTTCCTATAGTTTTTGAAAATAAATTCAAAATAAAATAATATTTTTAATAAAATTAGCAAAACAGCATTAGTTTGGTAATAAATTATTATTAAGAATATGTCAGGATTTAGTCAAACTACATATATATATATATATATATATAACAAATTAGAAGGTATTGCAGATATTGAAAATATTGAATATATGCAATGCCATCTACCGAGATAATTCTGCGTAATTACTTTTCTGAATTACTCGTTTTCGAAAAAATGATGTAGTTAGTTGAAAGTGTTATACAAGTACGTTTAGAATGTTATATACCCTTAAATACATAGATTAAATTTGCATTATTGTAAATAATGTATTAAATGTAAATATTTAATGTAAATTTTTAACATTACATACAATAATGTAATGTTAAAAATTATTATAATAATGCAAAAAATAACTCAAGCTCCTTAATTTATGCAATTTATTTTCTATTTTTAATTTTCTTATTTAAATACTTTGAAATTACCCTAGTGCATAATCTCGGTTTTACAAAACAATAACCACTTTATTATTTCATATTTTATTTTAACTTATCGTAATTCTCAAATAATTCTCTTTAAATTGGTAATTTGATAACAATTAAATTTCATTATGCTTTTTAATATTCATTTACCTACTTATTATTTAAATACTGACATATAAGTGCATATTATATATAAATATAGAATTATGATTTTATATAAAAGAATATTTACAACATTTTTATATTAGGAAGGTAATTAAGATAAATCAAGTGTGATTTTATTCAATTAGGCGCCTCTCATTTAGTTTACCCTTTTTGTTCTATAATTTTTCTCTACACATACATACAAATACACAAAAAAGCCACTAAGCGTAAAATGCATAATTTTAACATAACTTTTGCGGTAAATTCTTTCGCATATATCGCATATTAATCTTTATGTATACAATGTTATAATTACATATATAAAATATAATTTAATATACAAAAATAAATTATTTTTTGTTTTCATTATTTTTTCTTACTATTATAAAATCCGTCTAACTTGATACAAAATTATAAAATAAAAAAACAACTGAAACCACAGAAAATGAAAAGAAATAAAAATTATATAGAGCCCACAGACGGCTAGACTTTGTCAAACATTTAAACACATACCTACTAAATATTTGAATGTAAGAAAAGAGAAGAAGAAAAAAAAAAACAAACTAAAATACAAGTAAAGCATAAAAAAGAATTTACAAATAAGAAAAAACAAAACATGAATGAAAAAAATTTTAAAACTCAAGTTTTATTCATTTTTCGCAGTCATTTCATATTTAATGTACTTATGCCTTATATAATTTTTTTTTTTTTATATATTGGCAGCAAGCAATATTATTCATTCACAATATTTGAATTTCTACTATTATACATTTTATATATTAATATTATATAGAAATATATATGTACATGATATAATTATATAAATTGTTATTCATTATTATAGTGTGCACGTCATAAAAGATCTTTTAAGTCCAGACGTTAGACTAAATGGAATGTGATATTTTGAAACACATATTTTATACATAATGGTACCTACATATGTACGTAGATGAATTTTTATATATAAATATTAAGATGAAAGATAAAAGATGAAAATTAAAACAACAAAACTGGTATAGCGATAAATAAACAAAAAACAAAAAAATCATTTAAAAGAAAGAAAAATAATTATAACACTACCGCGTCAAACATCAGACAGTAAGCATAACCTATAAGTGTCTTTATAGTGTACAAATTAATATAGATAAAGTTCTTCATTATTAATTAATAAAAATTATAAAAAATGCATATGATCTGATAGAATAGACTATAGAATTTATATTTTTAAATTATATTATTCGCGCATATATGTGAAATAAATTCAGGAATTGCAGGAATTGCATATGAGTATAATATGTGTATATACGCACGCATATTACATGCATAACAGTATTTTGTCTCTTTTAATTACCATCATTAAATTGTTTTATATACCATTTCACTTAAAGCTCAAAAGAAATTTTCTCTTCTATCATCTCTTTTCATATTTTTACTGTTATAATATTTTACTCTTATAATAGTGTTTATTTTTTCTTAATGTATATTAAATATTAATTGTCGTAAATGTCGGAATTAATATCAAAGAATATTATGAATTTTACTAATACAACATTATAGTTGTGAAATTAATAAGTAATGTGCTTATTACACTAATAATTTAACTTAATGGAAATTTCTTCATGCAACTACAGAACAGATGGATGACGTAATCAAAGGAACGAGTTAAAGGCAGAAAAATTAATTAAAAAATTTTTCTATTCGAACTGGACTCGAACCAGTGACCTACCGCTTTCTAGGCGGACGCTCTACCAACTGAGTTACAGAGGCATGAAGAATAGCTTAATTTTATAAAAACTCTTGTATGCACACTCTTTCGGGCACTATTTTTTTTTGTTTGTATCCGTTATGCTGTGTTATCCACTCCCTATTTGATTAGAAAAAAATTCAATGCATATAAAGGCGCTTACATGCGTGTTGAATATAAGTGTGTTCGACTGTATATGCATAATAATTAATACGATAATGAAGTGTTTTGAAATATTAGGAGCGAAATTTTTCCGAAATTTTTCGAAAATAACAAAAATTTCGCGCTTTAGTGTTATTATTTTTGAAATATTTAAAATTATTTTATTAAATGAAGATTGTTATTGAGTTTGTTTCAATTAATCATAAGAAATTTTCTAAGTAATTTAATTTATCCTTGAAATTATCCAACAATTAACTTTATTCAATTTAAATTTTATCACAATTTCTATATTCATTTTTATTAATTTAAATTTATATATTTATTTTAAAAAGTAATAAAGTATGTGTGTTTATTATTTTTTTTACATTCAATTACGGGTTTTGTGATGCTCTTGATCGTCAAATTAAAATGTAATATACATACACACGTATGTAATACATAGCCTTATGAATTACGTATAAGTAAATTTTATTTGCAATTGAATAAATCTATTAATTTAAATTTTGCAAAAAGAAAACAAAAAAAATAAAATAAAAAATATTTGGGCAAAAATTCCTAGACTATAATAGATGAAGAGAATATGCGTATAGAAGAGAAAATTAAATTATGTGTAAATTTTAATACGCACGCACAATAAAGAGTCTCGTAAATTTTATTTTATATGTAGGTATGTATGTATTGTGGGTAGTTAAGTAGGAAATGACACCTTAAAAAAAATAATTTTTCTTTTCTTAATTTAAATAAAATTTTATTAAATTTTTATGTTATTTTCTAATAAAGAAAGTAAAATTTAATTTTTTTTTTTTGACAAAAAGTAAAAAAAGAAAATTAAACAGGATATTTTTATTTTTGCCTATTATAAAATTTAATAAAGTTAAAAAAGTTTCCCATGTACTAATAGAAAATTTTGAGATTGACCTTTTGAAAGTGACTACATATGTCAATGAATACATAGCCATAGTGATAAATTCGAATTAGAATAATGTTTTGTAAAGTAGCACATTTCACTTAATAAAATTACACTCGTTTTTTTTTTATTACACTGTTTTTATTACTCTGTCTTTAAATTAATTTTTTACGTGCAATAAATGTTATATTATAATATACAATATTTATTGCATATTTTTAGGATGAAAGCCAAAATTCAAAAAATGGTCGAATTTGACTGTTAATTAGAAGAATTTACCATTGGTTTTTTTTTTAAATTTTTTAGAAATTTCAAAAAAGAAATTTTACCGTGTTAGAAAAATAAGAGGTCGAAAATTGAAATTAAAATTTTGACAGGAGGATAAATTATAATAATAGTTTAATAATGACGGACAGCTAATCTGGCAGAGTGAAATTAATAAGTAAATACTTTTTTCTAATTTTGTTGCAAATGTGCTAAAATTGTTTACTAGTGATAATTTAAATTAATAATAATAATATGTACGCCCTTTTTCTTTTTAAGCTTTTCATTTTCAATGAAATCTGTGGAATAAAGCGAAAATATGTGGTAATTCAAAAATAACGAAATTTGAATAAATTGAGTTTAAATTATATATACACTAAAATATGTAATTCTAATAAAATTTTGACAGCATTTTCTATTAAACTAATAAATTATTTTATTAGAAATTGTCAAGTTCGGCTTAGTGAATTGAAAACCAAGTAACAGAATTTTCGCACGATATCAGATAAACTGTATAGAAATTTGCCAATTAGAAATAAAATGAAAAGCAGTTTAATTGGACTTACGCAGTTTTTGATTATGATCACAAGTAGGCTTGTCTTATTAATAAAAATAATAAAATTATTATCACAATTATTTTTAAGTACGAAGGTAATTTATCCAAATTTTTATTTATTGGGTATTCAATTCTGGGAACTTGTTGATTCTGGGAATTATAAAAAATTTTTAAATAAAATAAATTAATAATAATTTTCTATTTATTAATAGAAAAATTCATTATAAAAGTTTGAGAATAGATCACAATAATTTTCTTTTTTTGTTGACTAAATATCATGAACTCTGAGGGGGTAAAATAATTGAAATTTATTTTGTGTGTCAAAAATTAATAAAAGGAACTACTAGATGCTTATTGTTATAAAGTTAATTTTAAGTATTTTAAAGTAGTTCTATTCAATAATATTAAATAGGAAGTTTTTTGACCCTTTTAATTTTTAATTCAAAATCTTAACTTTTAATCAAAAAAAAAAATCTGGTATTTATTATAGGAAATATTAAGAAAACACAAATATTCTTTTAAAACACACACTATTCAAAATATTAAAGTGGCACAACAATACTTGAGCACAATGAAATGTGCACATTTTATTATGGTACTGTACGTTAATTAATTAATTGAGTAAAATATGTTATAAGGGGTTGCAAAAAAGAAAAAAAACAAAAATTTTTATTTTTAATACAGGTGTACAATTGCACTTACTTTTGGATATTTTAACTTTTATTCTCATATA